CCTGGCCCCCCCTCTCGTCTTCTAAGCTTGCCGCGTGCACTCACCCCACTGTCACCGCCGCGACGCGTGGCGCGCGGCCGCCGAAGTAAACGTGTGTGTGTGTGTGTGTCTCTGTGTGTGTGTGCGCGCACGTGCCATTGTGATGGAGAGCGGAAGGGGGAGTGGGTGTAGGAAGACGAGGAGAAAGAGGAGGATAACGCCGACGAGGCGGAGGTGTGTGTGGGGGGGGGCAGAGGAAAGAGGAGGAGGAGGAAAGTGGAGGGAGGAGGAGGAGGAGGAGGAGGAGGAGGAGGAGGAGGAAAAGAGGAGGAGGAAAGGAGGAGGAGGAGGATGAGGAAAGGAGGAAAGGAGGAGGAGGGTGAAAGGGAGAACGGCTGATGATAGAGTAGTGAGGTAGAGGAGAGCAGTCAGGGGATGGTGGTGACACGTTCACGTGACCATGTTTCCAACGAGAGAGAGAAAAACGCATAACAACATCCTAGCGCTGGAGTGTATGCACATGTGGTACTTCCTTTGCTGCACGAAGCCGCAGCTCACGCAATGGTCCAACTTGAGGGAGCGTTCGGTCATCATCAAGATGACGAAAGTGTTGGTCAGAGCCGCAAGTCAGGACGAAAATAACGAACGTCCTCTGCGAAACACTGCGACGACGTGACTCACCACAACAACGAAGGTTGCCACGCAGATGCCGAAGGCCGTCATGGAGATACCAAAGGTCACTTGGCGTTTGAAGACACCTGCGAAGCACAAGGCGTCGTAGAGGACGCTCATGTGAACGCTAACCCTAGAAGAGCTCCAAACTGGCTTAGGGCTGGAGGCCTATACACCAGTCCAGGGCACAAGATGGGCCTGGCCAGGGCTGGTGGTGGTGGTGTGTTGTTGGCGTCCCTCCGACACCCCCCAGCCCCTTGATCCTCCGGGGACAGGAGGGGCAAGCGCTCCTGCGCCTCAAGAGAAGCGGCGCCGCGCACGGCCCTTGCATCGGCCTCGTCCATGGTGAAGGCGGGCGTGCTCGTGCCCCTGCCACCGCCGCGGTCGTTGCCGTCGTAGGACTCGTCGGCGAGCCCGGGCAGGGCCTCCGCTTCGGCCAGGAGAGCATCCGGGACGTCCACGAGGTGCGCTCGACGGCCTCAGCCCTCGACGGCCCGAGGACCTCCCTCGGTTTGCATGTGCCCAAGTTCGCGTACTTCCCCTCACCGTCCCCCCCGGAATCGGGCGCGCTCATGCTGGCAGAGTCCTCGAAGTCGGACTCGCGCTTCGTGGAACTGGAGGAGTCCAGCTGACACACGAGGCTCCTGATCGTGTCACATGGGCTGGTTCCTGCGGGGGGCAGTGCTCAAGTGCACCATCGAATTGCGCGAGCTCCTCCATCAGCTTGGCCACAAGCCTGTAATGACAGCTGCGCCTGCATGTACTTGACATGCACTGCAAGTTGGATGCAGTAGCCGTCGGGATGAAGACAAGCTACATCATGTTGTCAATTAGGCCCTCGAATCGCCACGTGGACCGCAAGAAACTAATCGGGGCTTCGTTGCCGCTGTTTCTGGGCTGTCGTTGTCATCGATCCCGAACCTCCCGGGGGCCACGAAAACGACAAGCCATAACAGAAGCTTCCGCCCACGGGGAGGAAGGAGGCCGGCGGCATCGACGACTGTTTCTGCATAAAATATTGCAACACTCCGTCAACGGCGGCCGGGCGCCAGAACCGAGGGGGAGAAGCGGGAGGGAGAGGGTCGTCAACTCGTCGTCGTCGTCGCCGTCGTCGTCGTCGTCGTCGTCGTCGTCGTCGTCGTCGAACGGTTGGCTGATGTCAGCGTCCTAGGGACGAAGGCAACAGGACGCACTTACTCATGAGAGCCAAGCCGATCAACACGAGAATGCAAGCGAGGAAAAACCAGAGCGGCCTCAGAAGCCTCCGAAGCCTCCAAAGTCCCCTGAGGTCCCTGGAGCCCCCTGAAGGCTCCAGAGGGCCCAAAAAGTCCCAGAACCTGGATCCTCGAACCTGGAGGAGGGGGCAATGCGCCTCCCGTCGGCGTCGGCAGCATTCTCTGCGTCGTGCTTGTTGTAGTCCGCCCCCCCCTTGCAATTGGCGGCCATCCCCGAGCCCGCCTCCGCCAGGAGCGAGACGCCTTTGGGAGCTGGGGGGCCCTTGCTTCTCCGATCAGTCCCTCGCTCCCCCGCCTCCTACGAAATCGAGCGTTGCGTCATGGGGGGGGGGCGATCAAGCAGGGGCGGGGTGAAGAGGGGTAAGCCTTTCGTGCGCCTCTGGGGCCCTCATGGGTTCCCCGGGGCCCCACAGGTGCACGACAGGGTGAACCTTTCTTCACCCCCCCCCCCGAGGATCGCCCCCCATTGCGCAACGCCCGACTAACTCATGCTTCCGCCTATTTGGTGTCGTGTTTCGATGCTTGCGCTGCCTCTGCAAGCTTCTGGACACCTCGGAGGCGCTCCGAAGGGGCCCAAAGGCAATTTCCCCAAAGCTTTTTTACGACTCAAGGTTCTGAGTGCTGAGAGTTCTGACAGTTTCACATTGACGGGCTGGTGTCTTTGTATTGTTCAAACTGCGGGTCTGACCTTAGCACTGCACGCACTCGTCCTCAAAGTTACGATACTTAGACGGAGGGGAGCACAGGGCGCATTCAAAAACTAATGCTCACTCCTTGCGCTGTGCACTGTCGTCTGACGAATTCCTACCTCCAACGCGAATGGTGGGCGGGTCGTTTTAAGAATGCGGTTATCGTCTGAGCGCCACACGCATTCGCTGTGAACGCATACAGCATTTGCACGGATGCATGGCGATACCTATTCAACACGGGGCTCTCGCTTGTGACTTCTGCAGGTTCCTCCCCTAAGCAACAAATTCGATGATGGCTCCGAGTGTATTCAGAAACCAACTTCTGATTCCTAGAATGTCTGAGAAAAAGGTCCCATGCGTGCAACGCCGTCACGGGTTCCTATACATGCCATGTGCAGCCCGCATGCCGTTCCCGCGTGCCGTGCCATGCCGTGCTCGGCTGTTACCATGCAACAGCACTGCCGCCCGAAAACTGTGCTGTGCCTGTTTGCCGTGCCGCGTTCGGTTTCTAGAGTGCAGCGAAGGTGCCGCCCGCGTGCCGCACCGCGTACGCGTGCCATGCAGTGCCGTGCGATCCGCATGCCGTCTGGTGCGCCCGCGTGCCGTGCCGTGTCGCCCGCGTGCCGTGCTGTGCTCGGCGTCTAGAGCGCAACGCATGGCCGCCAACGTCCCGCGGGTACGGCGCCGTGCCATCCCGCGCCCCGTGCCCGCGTGATTTTGGGAATGGAAGCATGCATGCCGCCGGCGTGCCATGGAGCATCGTGTCTGCATACTGTGCCAAGCCGTGCCGCCTCCTCCTCCTCCTCCTCCTTGCACGTAGCCGGCGCCGCGTCTCTGTCCGTGCCGACGCACTAACGCCGCCGCAGCTGGAACCTCACTGTGGGGGGCGATAGCGCGGGCCTCGCGTTCGGATGGGCGGACGCGGTGCTCCGCTCTGTACGACTTGAGGAGGGTGCAAAGCAAAGTGGCAACAACGGGGCTGACGAGCGAGTCAGAAGACGGGGTGGACGTGCCGAGGCGCGAGACAGGGCAGCCAAGGAGGGGGTGGACGTGGCGGACAAGGGCGGGACCGTGCAGGAGACAAGGGCAAGACCGATCATGGGAAAGACCGTAGTGGCAGACATCTACGCCGCACAGAACGCAGGCCAGAAAACAAGCACCTCCTTTGCGGAGCCTCTGGCCCGTGGCCCAGCCGCGAATGAGAAGCTTGAGAACAGCACTCGCATGAGTAAACAGGGCTTTATCGATCAACTGACGGATCTCCCCCCACGGCTACGCTCGCATGGGCGCTTCAGGCACAGGAAGCTAGACGCTCAATCGAGCCAAGAACGCGGAAATGAGGGGGTCGGGAAACATCGCTTTCGAGCATGGCCGTGCGGAGGCGGCTCTGGATCTTGACTTCGGGCCCCACGGGGCAAAGGGGGGGGGTCCAGCGGCGGGGGCAGAGCAGCAGCAACCGCGCGAAACAGGAGGTCGATCGAGGCGGGAGAGGAGGTGACTATGCCACGTCCGACAGCTCGCGGGCAACAGTCGCTCGCAGCCCCGAGAAGCTCGGCGAAGGGCGCCCGTTGCCAGACGGGCAGCGGGAGCAGGCCGCGGGAGACGCGAGGGGCGGGGGGGCATGGGTCAGCCTCAGATCTAAGGAGAGGGGCCAGGGACCGCCAGCTCTTGAAAGTGCGCAAGTTGGCACGGGTGAGAGCAGCAGAGGCGGGCGCGAGCAGACTTTGGCAGCGGGGGCCGCCCCGCCGCCAGAGGCTGACCCGCCCGCCGCGAGGAAGGGCGCATTGGGCAGCGTGCCAGAGACGGGCGATCACGGCGGCTTCGTTGCTACCAACGTCGGGGGGGTAGCGGCATGCACTGGCTCGCGTAGCTATTGAGCAGGGACCGGCCGTCCCAGCATTCTCATAGGCCTACCACGACATGTTCTTAGAACCCAGAACTGCTCTAAGAACACAAACGTTGTTTTTTTTATACTGTAAGCCCGATGTGTTAAAACAAGGCCGACACCGCCAGAAATGTTCTGAGAACATGTCGTGCTGACCACAAGAGGTTATAAGAACATTATTTGGCTGGCCTATAGGCCAGCCAGGACGCTTCGCCACTGCTTGAAGCTGGGGGCCGTCGCGCATCGCGCGTTATAGCTGGATGCCGCGATTCGACCAGGGGCGCCTCCGTCTGCCAAGAGACCTGCCCGATAACGACATCTCGCACGAGGGGCACGCCAGCTTTCAATTTAGACGGCCTGTCCAAGATACATGACGAGAAAGAGCAACATGGAGGCACTCTCGAAGGCGGACCAGCCTGGACTGTTCTCAGAGAGCCACGCGCGGTATCTCTGAGCGATAGCAGGACCTTGTTCTTCCGCGAGAGGGGCGATCTTGCACTTGGAGCCCATGAGGGAGAGGGCCGAGACGCGCTCGGCGGCTTTCAACATCCAGTGAAGACTAGCAGCTCTCGGGGTTGACGACGTCGTCAGTGCGAGCGCGTACGAGCGCCCGAATTCGCGTCTGTCGACGCTGACGTCGAAGTCCCGCATGAAAGTGTCGGCACCGGGCGAGAAAAGGAATCCTGAGCCAGGGCGCCCCTGGATGGCGCCGCTCTGCACGTTATAGAGCCATGGTGATGCCGAGCCAGAAGCGCTGAAGCACTGCGCTCAACTGAAGAGCTCAGGGAAGAGACGGCAAAATGCGGATGGCAACCCGTTGCGGCGAAGGACACATCGAATCCGTTCATGGGCAGCACGTGGGAAGGCCTGCCGAAAATCGAAGCTGGCAGGGCGGGCATGGCTGCGGGGGCATGGGCCTGCGCGGAGAACGCCCGCGAGACGGCATCGATTTCAATAATGGTGTCCTCGAAGTCTCGAGTGGGGGCGAAGCCCCGCTTGATATGGTTGGTCACGTCTGGCAAAAGCTTCGAGAGCTTACGAATCACGACGCGGGCCACGATTCTGTTATCACAGCTCTTGAGGCCCAGGGGGCGGAGGCTAGCAGGGGCCCTGGCGCAGCCGTGCGAGGTGTCCTCGCCCTCGGAGCCCTTTGGGATGAAAACGCCCAGGAGGTCGTTGCAACCTATTGCCATGGCCTAACCGCTGAGAATCCACCGTGCGATGTCGTGAAGAATCTGAGCCATGAACCGGGACTTCTGGAGGGCCTTGTAGGGGGTTCCGTCGGGACCTGGAGCGGAGTGAGCCAGGCGCTGCAAGTGTCGTTCGCGTCGGCGAGGGAGGGGGGCGCAACCTCAGAGACGTCGAGGGACGGGCAGAGGCGCTCGAGGCGCCTACTCGCAGCGTGCGCGCCAACCTCCTCGGGCAAGAAGACCCCGCCCCAGCGGGGCGAGATCGCAGTCTCCATGTCCAATTGGGAAGAGAGAGAGAGAGAGAGAGGGAGGAAGAGAGAGAGAGGGAGAGAAAGAGAGAGAGAGAGGGGGAGAGAGAGAGAGAGGGAGAGAGAGAGAGACGAAAGAGAGAGAGAGAGAGAGCGCTATCCCACTTTGAGCTCGAACCCCGACCAGCTGCGCCCCGGGGCCGATGGGCGCCCGCAGCTTGAGCACCGAGCCAGTCGGCGCAGCCGTTTGCGCGGCTTCGCCATGGCCTGTCAGGGCGAAGGAAGGCGCTCAGCAGCTCCCATCTCTGAGCGGATGGAGCGCTGCTGCCCCCCCGCATCTGCGTGCTGGGGCTCGTCCAGTGTCGAGTAAACACGCGCAGAATTCAGTGGAGCAGCTCTATCATTTTTACGGGCCTCTGAAAGCTCCTCGGGTCATGGATGACGAAATAAAAAAGAAGGCGAGCCTGCAATCATGTCGCCATGCAGCCCTGGATATGTACCTCGTGAGGATCACTCTGGAGGCCGTGTTGCAGGGTTCTCAGGGAGCAGAGCGCCCCTCGCGCATCTGGCGCCTTCACGAAGCGCCGTCTTGTGCAGAACCCGAAACTAGAGGTGGCGAGAGCTCCGAGGGGTCCAGGGAAGGCCACATAGCGTCAATGCACGTCTGGAAGTCAGGGAGCCCGAACACGCGCTTCGGGGCGGGATCGCCTGGAGGTCAGGGTCGGGAGGGGCGCGGGTCCCAAGAAGGCGGGGACGGGAGGTCCCGCGCTTCGGAGACCAGGCGGAGGGTGGACAGAATCCAACCAGGCCAGGAAACGAAAGCGCGGTCGATGGCTGAGGCATGCTGGCGGCAGCCGTTGTAGCGAGAATGCTCCCGTTGACCCAATTCCACGAGGCGAGCGAAGAACTGGTGCCAGGGGGGCGAAGCTGTCTCCTTCGCTCGGGCACCGCGGGGCCCTCGCCTGCGCAAGCCTCGCGCGGGACCTCGGGGCGTGGAAGTTCGCGGGAGGTCACAGTCGCCAGCGATGACGATGGGGAAACGCTCTGGGTCGGAGGCGGCCTCGAGCAACTCCTCGGAGGCGGCCTGATGTCGTGGTTGTGGATGTTGCAATGCGAAATGAAAGATGGCGCGCCGTACCCAGCGCGCGTGCCTAGGCAGAGCTTGCACCAACTCTTCAGCCTAAAACAAGGCCTCAAATCCAGGTTGCGGGAGTGCATCGGGAAACACGTGACAACCCCGCCCTTGTTCAGAGATGAGAAAGAAGTAGAGCAGGAGGTGTAGCCAGAGGACGACGTGCGCAGGAAAACCGAAACATCAAAACTGCTGCCATGTGCTCCCTGGAGAACAATGGTACGAAGCCCACAGAACACTCCCGGGAAATAGCCTTGCGTCGCGGTCCGCACGAAGGGGTTGCGATGAAAAGAGGGCTCTCGCATTCCACGCGGCGAGCCCGAGCTCTTGCAAAGCAGCACCACATGTCACAAGGAACCAAGCGTCAAAGACGCCACTGTGCAGGAGCAACAGGGGCAGGACCAGAGGAAGCGGCAACAGCCTCAGAGACACGGTCCTCGACCTCCGAGCGGGAAATGCCGATGGCCGAGAGATTGGCAGCCTCCCACTCGATGGCAGGCGGCTCGTTCCGTTTGGGGGCGATGCGAAGGAGGCAGCTGCTGACGCTCAGCGACTTGTCTGCGAACAGCTTGGGATTCGGGGCGAATGGCGAGAGCACTTTGCGGGCCTGCTTGGTGGCGAGCTCGCGGCGGACCTGGAACGTGCTTTTTCCTCAGAGGTGTAAGGTCGCTGAGGGAGCCAGTCAGCCACGGATGCGGATGGTGAAGCGCTTGGCGGCGGGCTCGCCGTCGAGGGACGAAGACCCCTCATCGAAGTTGGAGTCGGCGAACCAGGGGGGATGGCCTCCTTGACCGGTTCCTTGGTGACAAAGGCGTTGGCGCGGAGGATGATGACACACGGGTCGGTGCGGCGTTCCAAGTTGAGCTGAGAGGTGGGAGTCGCAGTCGAAGGTTCGGTCTCTGGACGACGCGGAAGGCGGCCTTAAGCTCCGCGATCTCCTTGGCCATGATGTCCATGTGGCCATGCGGGTGTGCAAGTTCTGCTGGGTGGTCTCCATCTAAACGGGGCGCTGATCGACCTGCTGGCTGAGTGAGACCCCCGACGTGGGCGCTGACGGACTTGTTGAGTTTGAGCATGATCTGCTGCAGAACCTGCATGGCATCTACGATGTCGTGCTTAGTGGAGTCAGCGTAAGCACGGCAATCATCAGGAGGAAAAAGAGGGTCACTGCCATCAGCATGAGCACACTGGGACGGAGCTCGCGCACCAAGTCGCCATCGAAGAGGATTGGGGGCATGCTGCATGCTGGATTCGACTGGGCGGGGATCGGCACGCTGTCGACAACCATCGCCTTGGCCCGTGCTGCGGCCAGGCGGACGCGTGCTCTGAGCCTTCATGAGGGAAGTCCGCGGGGAGCGTTCGCGCTGACGGTCATGGCGATCAGGCGTGTGCAAACTGCATGGGAGGGATTGGGAAATGTCCGGCAGCCTTTGACAGCTGGACCGCTCGAAAGAGCTGCCGTAGTCAAAAGAGGCGTGCCCCCATCTTGAACCAAAATGGCGACGGACCTCCTCCTTCTCCTCCTCCTCTGGATCACCCCCACTAGCCACCACTCGCCCTCCCCTTTGTCCTCCCCCCCCGTGGATGAAGGGGAAGGGGAGGGTAAGGACATCGGAGGGCGGAGGAGCAAGAAGAAACACTGGGTGGATCTTTTTGCCCCCAGGCCGGTGATGAGGTCAGTGACGTCCTGGGCACAGTACGCCTCGAAGTTGATCGCCTTGGCGCACTGGGAAGCGGCGCCTGGGAGGAGCGCACTCTCTGCGAGCAATGTGCTCGCCACCGACTGTGCTGCCACTACCGACGATGGCGCGCGGCAGTTGGTGCTCAAGGAGTGCGGGTCGTGCAAACAAGACCGACACGCCACGGGCAAGACACCAATGCCGGCAAGAGGCCGCAGAAGCCAGAAGCGCGGCATGAACCGCTGCTGTTCGCCCTCATCCTTCTCCTCCCTCTCCTTCTCTTCCCATCCTTCTACGCTTCCTCGTCCTCTCCGTCTTGCCTCTTGCCTCCTGGCTCCTCCTTCTCCTCCCCCCGCCCCGTCTTTCGGAGGACGAGGATGGTAAAGAGGGGACGAGTGGAGGAAGGACGACGTTGGATCCTGGACTGGCCTGCCTCCCAAGGGACGGGTCCCGACAGCGATGGGCGGGCGCGCGGAGTGCGAGGGCGCGCCTGCGGCGCGCCCCCGACAGCAGCGGCTGCCGCGGCGGACAGCACGCAGAAAAACGATGCTGATGAGCCTCGCTTAACCGAACCCTATGCCCATGTGCGTGGCCCGGGCCCCACTGGCCGATTTACCCCCCTTACATGGGGATAGAGTCCGCTCCCTTCGGGTCTTGAAAGGGTATACTGGCAACCGGGATGCTGAGATGGTGGGGGTCTGGATGGGGATGGAGATGCCATGGTCATCACCATCATTATGCTGCTGTTCTTGCCATGCAGATCAACGCCACCAATGAACTCGCGGGCTGGTCTGAAAACAGTACCACGCTGAACATCGATGTCGAAAGTGCGGGACCCACGCCACGAATGAATTCACGAAAATCAGCTAACCTAACTGTTGATACACCTTGATCATAACGGACACTGCAACAAACCACATTGCGGTTGGGATTAACGCCCCCCCAGCGACACATTGCGCTTGGGACCAAGTCACTCCAACAGAAGCCCCAATCGATCCCTGCTTGTCCGAGAGGCCGATTTGCCAGTTTTCCGCAAGAGGGAAAAGGAGGACGAGGCGGATAATGAAAAGGCAGAAGCGGAGTGGGAGGAAGAGGATGGGAAGGATAAGGTGGAGGAGGAGGGAACGTAGGAGGAAGAAGAGGAACAGGAGCAAGGGGAGGTCGACGAGGAGGAGGAGGAGGAGGAGGAGGAGGAGGAGGAGGAGGAGAAGGAGAAGGCAGCGGATGATAGGGAGGAGGGACGCGCAAAGGGGGGGGGGGAAAAAGATGAGGATGAGGAGGGACTATATAATCGCCCTCTCCTCCTCCCAATCATCCTTTCTTCTGGCAGGGGACGGAGGGACACGAGGAGGTCACGGATGAAGGGAGGAGGAGGAGAAGGAGAAGGAGGACACGGATGATGATGATGATGATGCTGATGATGATGATGATGATGATGATGATGATGATGCTGATGATGCTGCTGATGATGATGATGATGATGATGATGATGATGAGGATGATGATGAGGATGATGATGATGATGAGGATGATGATGATGATGATGATGAGGAGGAGGAGGAGCCTGATAGGAACACGGCGACGTGGCCGAACGAAGTAATGATGAAGGTGATGGTCTCCGCGCAGGCGGCCTCCTTGCCCTTCGGCACCTTGCAGGGCTTGTCGGCGGCCAAGCGGAGGAGAGAGGAATGGATCACTGTCGGCGGTCAACCCGGGGGGGGGGGGGAAGTGAGAGGGGGCAGGCCTTTTCGGAAGGCTCGGGAGTCCTCTGGTCTTCTGGGAAATCGTCTGAGCCATTCCCGAAGACAGATAGGGCCCCAGGACAACCTCCGAAGGCCAGTCGCCCCCAGAGGCCCCCAAGAGGCCCCCAAGAGGCCCCAGGAGGCTCTCAATAGGCCCCAGGAGGCCCCCAAGAGGCCCCTCAGAGGCCCTCAAGAGGCTCCCAGGAAGCCCTCAGGAAGCCAAAGACGGCCTCAATGGAACTCCGTGTTGTTCTCCTTCTCCTCGTCCTCCTTTCTCCTCCCTCGCATCCTCGGTTCTCCTATTCTTAGTGTTCCCCCAAGGGGTTACACAACGGCTGGGGGAATACGTGGTCCAATGACTTGGCCAGACTTCGGTCCAACGTTTGACCACATAGGCGTTTCCCAACGGCAGGGGGCGGCGGTGTTTCGCCGTAGGCGTCTTCGGCCTCCGCCTCCAAGACACAAAAGATGGTCCCTAAGACGGCCTCCACGACGGCCAAGATGGCCCAATCTGGCCTCCAAGACAGCCAAATCTGCCCTCCAGTCGGCACAGGAGGCCTCCAAGACGCCCAAAGACGGCTCCAACAAGATTTCCAGGAGGCAAAAATCATTTCTGCACAATTCTTGACAGATGTTCGCGTTCTCGCCTTTGTGGGCTGCTGACACTCCAAGACTGCCACATATGCGTATGCCCCCAAGAGCGCCCCAAGACGGCCCAAGATGCCCACAAGAAGGCCCAAAGAGGCCCCCAAGCCCGTCCAAGATGCCCCCAAGGGGCCCCCAGCGCCGAAAGAGGAACCCACGACTGCCCAGAGAGGCACCCAAGACGGCCTCCAAAGGCCAAGAGGCCCCCTTAAAAGCCCCTCAGGGTCCCCAGAGAGGCTCCCGGAGGCCCCTCGGAGTCCCCCACGAAGCCTCCGAGGCCTCAAGAGTGCCTCGAGAGACCTCCTCTTCCTCTTCCTCCTCCTTCCCCTTGTCCTCCTCGTCCTCCAATGAAGTTGCGGCAGCACTGCATGTTCACAACTGTTGCCATAGAGATTGTTGCAACAGCAGGTGCAAGCAATCCAATTGCATGTGCGTTGTATTTCGACCTGACTCACGTCTATCTCCTCTCTTTCCTCCTGCTCGGCCTGTTTTCAGTCGCTCAGGGCCCCCTTGGGAACGACTTGAAGCTGTCTCTTCTCCTCGCGCAACTCTCTCACAGGAAGGATGGTGCCGAATGCGGGCGGCTCGGCGTCCCTCTAGCTGTCCCACTGTCGGTCAGAGAAGGCTGTCCCTCCAGCGGTAGCCGCTGGCAGGCGTATCCATACGCATCCGAGAGCCAGATATTTCCCAAGCCAGACTTGAGGAATGTTGGCTCGCATCGATTCTTGTCTTGCCCTGTCTTGTCCTCGCCCTCCTTCTCCTCTCTCCTCCTGCTCCTCCTGCTCCTCCTCCTCCTCCTCCTCCTTCTCGTTGTTCTTCTTATCCCAAGTTCCCCCAAGGGGTTCCACAACGGATGGAAGAGCACATAGTCCGATCTCTGGCAGGACTTGGGCCCAACGTTTGGCCGCACGAGGGTTTCCAAAAGGCAGAGGGATGCGATGGTTCGCTGCAGGCGTCTTCGGCATAAAGGGCTAAGTAGCTTGAGGATGCGATGCTCTAGGAAGGTTGAAAGGATTCTCGAGGGGTTCTCGGGGATCCAATCTCCGATTCAAAGTCCAAGGGATTTCGACTGTTTCGAAGAGGATGCCCGGAAACCACGAAGCAGATACCTCTGGGACACAGCCCGAAAGGCGGTGTTCACCCGCAAGTGCTTAGTTCGTTGCCTTCAGGGCCAGGGGCAAGTCGACGCCCGCAATGGCAGTGCCGCCGAAGGTCGACTCTTGCAAGGGCAGTGACATGCTCAGCGGTGCGCCCTCTTTGTTTAACTACTCGCAAGGCGGCTAGCCGACCACAGACCTTGTACTTGCCCGTCACGGGATCCTTCTTCGGTTTGCAGGAGTGCGTCGCCTCAGTCATGGAGGGGGAGGGGGAGCAGCATCTGCGAAAAGGAGGATGAGCATTGGCAGGGGAGGATGAGAAGAGAGACTGGATGAGGAGGGGGAGCACGTGGAGATTGACGACCAAGAGGTGGTCGCCTCGGCGATGCCTACGCCGGCCTGGCCCAGGGACACAGCGGCCTGGATGGAGTCGATGACGCAGAACGCCAACTGTAGCTCCTGATGATCCCTGTGCTGCTGTTCCTCCATTTCCTCGTACTCCGTCTTGTTCAGCACGTCCTCGAGGAGCAGGAGGCAAAGGAAAGGGAGGGGCAGGATGAGAAACAATACAGCGACACGGGGGAGGACGGAGGAGAGAAGGGAGGAGCAAAAAGGGGGCTGAGGGGGGGAGGAGAAGGAGGAGGAGGAGGAGGAGGAGAAGGAGCAAGAGGAGGAGGAAGAGGAAGAAATGGAAGAGGTGGACGATGATCCAACTCGTATCAGGCATGCGCGAAGGCCTCCGAGGGAGGAGGGGCGCGCGCGGGGCGCGACGGGCTGCGGAAGCCCCCCCACAGCGCCGTGCCTGCGGTGGCCGCCGCGGCAGCCTCGCGCTCAGCGTCAGCGCCCGCGCTGCGGCCCAGGCGCCGTCACCACCCGTGGGCTCCGCGCGTGCCCCCACCCCCCCGGCTGCCCCTGCCTCGGCCCGGAGGCACCCCTCCTCGCCGAACCCCTGCCGCTCTCCAGTGCCTCGCCCGTGACGCCGCGGGCCCCCCCGGAGCTGCGGCGCGGCCCGGGAGCCCCGCCCTGGCGCTGCGGGGTGCTCCGCGCCGCGCGCGCGCACCCGCCCCGTGCGCCTGCTCGACGACGGTCGTGGCGCGGCCCTCCTCCGCCGCCCCTCTCTCGCCGATCGCGCCCGGCGGGCTCCGGGCGCCCGAGCTCGATCGCCTGGGGCCCCGGGCGGGTGCGCGCCGCGCCGCCTCGCCGACGAGGCGGACGCCGCGCGCCGCGATCAGTACATCACGATGCCTGCCCCGCCACAGCCTGCGCAAAGAAATATATTGGCACGAACTCGGCAACCGTGAAATTTTCCAGGGCCTTTCCTCCGTCCTTGCTGGACTCGTCCTCCGCCGCAGCTGCTTCGGCGTCGTGTCCGTCGGCTGCCACCGCTTCGGCGGGGGCCCTCCGCAGTTGCAGGGGGTTGCCTCACACAGAACGCGGGCGGGCGTGTCTCTAGATGCGAGGTTGCGCCGCCCAGCATGCCGACGAACCGCTGGGCCCGCGCGGCTGGCCTCCCCCCCCCGCCGCATCGCTGGCGCCGCCGTCGACGTCGCCGTTGCCGTCGCTGTCGCCGTCGCCATCGACATCGCCGACGCCGTCGCCGTCCCCGTGGCAATGGCCGTTTGCCGTGGCCGCAGCCGCCGCCGCCGCCGCCTCCGCCGTCGTCGTGGTCGTCGTGGTCGTCGTCGTCGTCGTCGTCGTCGTGGTCGTCGTGGTCGTCGTGGTCGTCGTGGTCGTCGTGGTCGTCGTGGTGTCTTGGTGGTCGTGGTGGTCGTGGTCGTAGTCGTGGTCGTGGTCGTTGTGGTCGTGGTCGTGGTCGTGGTCGTCGTCGTTCGGGGTCTTTCTCGTGGTCGTTGTCGTGGCCGTGATCGTGATCGTCGTCGTGGTCGCCGTCGTCGCCCGCCCCCGCCTGTATGACGAGCTGCTCCCTGCTGCTTGCTCTCCTCGTCCAGCGCCTCGAGCTCGCGGCGGCGTGGACTCCATGGCAGCCGATTGGGGAGGCTGGCTGTGGTGCTGCGCTGCCAAGAATCCCAATGGTCAGCCTTCGCAGCGCCCCGCCGCCTCTGCCGCCCCAACTGCTGCCGTCGGAACTGCTCGGGCCCTTGCTGGAGCCACCCCTGCCTCCGCTTGTGTCGCTGCCGCTGGCGCCACGCCCGATGGCTGCCGCGCACCAACTGCGGTGCTTGAGCGTCCCTAGGCATATGGAAGACATGTCCTCAGCTCGCAGCTTGGCCCAAGCTGCGCGAGGACCCCCCAAGCTGCTTGTGGGTCCTCGCGCTCAAGTTGCCCCAGAACACGACCTGCGGTCGTCGGAGGCTCCGTGGCCTTGAACCAATACGGCACTAGTCACAAGAAAAGGTGGGCGGCACGGCTGATGATGGTGATGATGAGTGATGAATAATGGACGATGAACGAGGAATGATGATGAGTGATGAATGATGAGGATGATGCTGATGATGCTGATGATGATGACGAAGGATGAATGGTGTGATGATGCTGCTGCTGGTGATGATGATGCTGATGCTGATGATGCTAATGATGCTAATGATGATGATGATGATGATGATGATGATGATGATGATGATGATGATGATGATGATGATGATGATGATGGTGATGATGATGATGATGATGCTGATGATGATGATGCTGATGCTGATGATGATGATGACGATGATGATGATGGTGATGATGATGGTGATGATGATGATGAGGAGGAGGAGGAGGAAGAGGACGAAATAGAGGAGGATAGACGAGGACATCCTCCAACTCCGAGGCGATGCTGGCCACGTCCACATTGCCATTCGCCGCCACTCTGGCGACGCCTGAAGCTGGGACACACAATCCTCGCGCAAACTTCCTCCTTTTTGCGCCGAGTGACAGCCGCGAGCGTGCCGGACCCAACCCACCATCGCCTCCCGCTCCTCCCCCCCCCTCCTCCTCCTCCTCCTCCTCCTCCTCCTCCTCCTCCTCCTCCTGCCGCTCCTTCATTGTGCCCCTCTTGGTGTTCCTTCTCTCGTTCCTCCTCCCGATCCCCCTCGTCCTTCGCCTCCTCCTCCTCCTCCTCCTCCTCCTCCTCCTCCCACTGCTCTTGTTCCTGCTCACACCCCTAGCCCTCCTCCCCTCGCCTGCTCTCTCTCCTCGTCCTCGTCGTCTTCCTCCTCCCCACCTCCTCGTCCTCGTCCTCCTCCCCCTGCTCGCACGCCCGAGGGGCCGCGGGCCCCTCCCTCCAAGGCCGCCTGGCCGGGGGCCATCGCTTGCAGGGCGCAGGCTGCCCGACTTGTGGGCAGCTTGGCGCCCGGGCGCTCCCGGGAGGGTGGCCACCCACGACGCTCCTCTGGGGGGAGGCCGTCAAGGCGGCCTGCGCGGCGCCGTGTTTTCTTCTCATGGCTGCGCCGGGCAGCGCCATTGCAGTGGCGGCCTGGCCCGGCGTGCTCCAGGAGCGCAACCAGCTCCTGCGCCTCTCGCGCTGCGCCCGACGCTTCCGCCCCGCCGACGAGCCAATCGGCCAGCGCGGCCAGAGATGCTGGCGCCCCTCTGGCGGATGCTGTCCTGCACCACTCCGCCGCCCCCAGGCAGAACGCGACGAGGTGGGCTGTCGCCTCCTTGGGAGGGCCAGCTGGGCCCATGCGCGGACCGCGGCAGGCGGGCACCCAGCGGCCAGGAGGTGGGGCAGTCCCCAGCTCGCCAGTGGGCACTGCGCATCAAGCTTTCCCGCTGGCGCTGCCACTCGCGGGCCTGCTGGAAGAGGGCCCACCGCTTCATTGCGCGGCGGGGCCTGCTGCTGCACGCGGCCGCCGAAGGCCTAGATCCCGGGTGAAGGCGTCCATGGCCGCTGCTCACGTGTCCTAAGGCTTCAGGTCTGCGCCGCCACCTCCATTCCATGACCGTCGCGGCGAATGAATACCTGCGGTCCGCGAGCGCTCGGGTTCACAACATGCAGACCGCGCAGGGCCGCGTACAGCTCAACTAGAACAGAAGAGCTGCCCAGGGCACCAGCCCAGTGATGCCGGCGCCTGCTTTTGCCCCACTTGTCCTGCGGTCTTGCGCCCTGCAGGTTCAGGGCGGGGGGGCAATCCGCCAAATGGCCACAGAACTCCACGCCGGCTAGCACCGAGGGTGCGGTGCACGCCAGAAGCGCGGCCATCTGGTCCGCGATTGGGGAGCCCGCCTCCTCCATGGCCGTGAAGTGACGGCTGCCCAGCCGCCCAGCCGCCTCTGAGCAAGCGAGCAGGTGGGCGTACCAATGCAGCGCCTGCGTCACGAGCGATCCCCAGGCAGCGGTACAGAAGGGGTAGCGGGCGCGTGTCCTCCAATCCTCCTGCCAGGGTTGCCGTTTGAGTGGGTCCGTACCGCAGTCGCCCGCGCTGCCTGCGCGAGGCGGCCTCCAGCGCCTTGGCGATGGTGCCGCAGCATCCTCGGGAGGAAGCCTTCGCGCGCACGTCGTCCACGAAGGCGCGCGGGCCAACCCGCATTGTGGCTGTGCTGTCTAGCAAGGCTGCCCACACCGCGTCCGACGAGGCGCCTCCCATGGCGATGTCCAAGCTGGCCACGCCCTCCGTGAGCACTTGCCACTGCGCCACCTCGTCCACATCGAGGGACGGAGCGTCCGTGCAGTCGGTTGCAGCCTGAAATGCGTGGAGTGCGTCTGGGTGCGGGTCGAGCCCGGCACCAAGGCCCGCGCGTGTTTCTATCGTCTCCAATTGGGCAGCCATGCCGAAGCAAAACATGGGCGGGCTCACGACTCGTCCCTCCAGCACGCCGATGCGCAGCCTGAAAGCGGCCAAGCGGAACCCCCCCTCCCCTCTCCACCTGCACCTCCACCTGCACCTCCACCTCCTCCTCCTCCTCCTCCTCCTCCTCCTCCTCCTCCTCCTCCTCCTCATCCTCCTCATCCTCCTCATCCTCCTCATCCTTCCCTCCCTGCCTCCCTCACTCACTCCCTCCTCATTGAGGAGGGCGAGCAGGAGGACGATGGGTCAGCAGCAGCAGGACGTTGACAAGAACAAGGGAGGAGGTGGAACAGAGCGTGATGACGAGGGGGAGGGACAAGGGGGCGCGAGAAAGTGGGGAGAATACGGCAGGCTCGTGTCGTGCCAACTTTGGCGTTGGTTTCTGACACCGCGGGGATCGTTCAACCTTGAACGATCGGTCGTGTCCGAAGCGTCCGATCGTTCAACATCGACCGACTCTGGGTCGCCGCTGCTGGGACGGCACCCGTCGACACGACGCGAACATCTTGTAGGGGAGGACACCGACGACGACACCTGCGCCGAGCGCCAGCGCCAGGGCGAAGGCCGTGACGGTCAT